GAATTCTCAGATTGATTTTAGCCCTCTCTCGTCTCTCTTTTAAATGATGCTGGCAAACATACAGGTCTAACGCCTACAGAACAGGCCCGAGAGGAACCTAAAGAACAGGAACATCTCAAGAGCAGCATTTTTCATGTGAATTACCATATCAGTGATTCAAAACCAATCAACATCAACCCTTCAGTCTTGTTTTCATAGGATTTGGATGTGCTACATCATTGAATGACTAATAAAATTAAACATGTAGAACTACTGACTTTATACTGTAGTTTCTAACAAACATCTTTAAAGGAGTAGATCACTTTTCGAAAACTTTGGCTCACCCATGTCATCCAAGATGTCCATGTTTCTTTCTTTCTTCAGTTGAAAAGAAATTAAGGTTTTTGATTAAAACATTCCAGGATTTTCTCCATATAATGCACTCTCCTGTTCGAACTCGTTCATCAAAATGAACAAATCTTTTTTCCGAGTCAATTTGTTCGTTCCGTTCGTTGAATGAACCAGACGACTCGGAAAAAGATTTGTTCATTTTGATAAACGCGTTCGAACAGGAGAGTCACAAATGCGCATCACAGAGCAGAGCAAGGCGAGCATTTGAGCTCATAATACTTAAACTTTGTTATTTATTTATTAAATGAGCGATCGTTTCACTTGATAAGACCCTTATTCATCATCTGGAATCGTTTAAAGCCCTTGGAAGCTGCACTGAAACTCTCATTTGGACCTTGAACCGTTTGGTGCCCATTGAAGTCCATTATATGGAGAAAAATCCTGGAATGTTTTCATCAAACACCTTAATTTCTTTTCGACTGAAGAAAGAATGACATGGATATATTGGATGACATGGGGGTGAGTAAATTATCAGCAAAGTTTTTTTTAAAAATCAACTACTCCTTTAAAGACATTTTCAAGTAATTCTCAGGGTCCGTTTGCATGACAATGATGTATATAAAACTGATTTTTTTTTTTTTTTTTTGCCTCTGCAATTTTTTTGCATACAGACGACAACATTGTCAAAACTATCCCCGGCATTCACACAGATCTGTGAACGACTAAAAACGCTGTATTATGCTGCCAGGCCAGTAGTTGGTGATGTCACTTTGTAAACAGACACTACACGCCTATAGAATAAACAGAATACACAAGCACATGACTTCACCGTTTTCACAGATTCGTTTTTGTAGTTTACATGGAGACGATAACGGTGTTGTTTTCAAAAACGTGCACTTTGAAACCTGTTTTCAAAGTTTGAATTTTCAGGCCCCCAATATTCCATTGACATTTAAAGGGTTAGTTCACCCAAAAATGAAAATTAAGTCATTAATTACTCACCCCCATGCTGTACCAACCCCATAAGACCTTCGTTCATCTTCGGAACACAAATGAAGATATTTTTGATTAAATTTGAGAGGTGGATCACTGCTGCATAGGCTACCTAAGGGATTGAAACTTGACGGCCCAGAAAGTACTTTTTGTGCGGAAATAAAACAAAAATAACGACTTTATTCAATCATTCCTTTTGTTCCTTCTGGACCTGAGATGAGAGTTCAAGAGATTTCCACGACGCATGCGCGAGATTTGCGTTCTTATTGTATTACTTCTTGCGCAATTCTCGCGCATGCATGGTGGAAATCTCTTGAACTCATCTCAGGCCTACAAGGAAGAAAAGGAATAGTCGAATAAAGTCGTTATTTTTGTTTTATTTCCGCACGAAAAAAATTATCGTTGCTTGATAATAAACTTATACTTGAGCTACTGTAGGCACATGGAATTTTCAACATTTTCTTCAATGACTTTCTGGGCCGTCAAGCAGTGTTGTGCACTCGAGACTCGGACTCGGTCTCGGACTCGGTCTCGAGTCCATATTTTAACGGACTCGGTCCTGTCACAGACTCGTGTGCATTTTGACTCGGAAATTGACTTGTACTGTAACATATTGGGAGTCGGGTCTCGGACTTATTCCCCAGTCCACTCGTCCCATTCAAAATATGTCATGATTATTACTGTATGTTAATATTTCTTTAAATTGTTGTTTGATTGAAACGTCCAATGATTGCTGACTTTCTTGTGCGCAACTGCGCATGACTTAAAACTATAATGTTCGCGGCACGCAAATGCACAGGATCCAGGTCAGGTGTGATGTGGAGCCTCTAGCTCAACTATGAAAATGTCTGCCTTATCATCCATAGTTCAGTTTACATATTAGACCCACACAGAATTCATGTACAGTAATGTTCTGTGAAAGAGCACTTACTAATTGTAACAATTGTAAGTAATAATCATAATAAAATTCCCTACACCACTATGTGGCCTTTTTACCATTACAGTGTACATGATTCCATGGTATATTTGGTTTACTGTTTGAGTATGGTGCCAATTTTATTGTTACCACCAAATATTTTACATATTCATGAAGATATCTTTAAGTCTGGTTTGAGACCCAACCTTAGGTTATCCAACCTCTATGGTCTCGGTCTCGACTCGGACTCGACTCTCTTTGGTCTCGACTCGGACTCGACTCTCTTTGGTCTCGGTCTCGACTCTGACTCGACCCTCTATGGTCTCGGTCTCGACTCGGACTCGACCCTCTATGGTCTCGGTCTCGACTCGGACTCGAGTGAGCTGGTCTCGACTACAACACTGCCGTCAAGTTTCAATCCCTTAGGAGCCTATGTAGCAGTGATCCACCTCTCAAATTTAATCAAAAATATCTTTTCTATCTATTCCAAAGATGAACGAAGGTCTTACGGGGTTGGTACAGCATGGGGGTGAGTAATTAATGACATAATTTTAATTTTTGGGTGAACTAACCCTAAATGAAACCCAAAATGCATAAGAGGTTTTCCGTATTTAGCTGAAAACAGTGTGTTAACAGCCCCTCAATCCAAAAATTAAATCTGAATTTATGCACCATTACCAACACCTAAAAGAATTGCTAAATCACTCCCCCCATCTGTCACTGGTCCCCAAAAAACTTGTGCTATTGGTTGAGTCATTGTTGCTATGTCAAACTGATCTGCAAGTTCAAACAATAGTAACATAATGCCACAGAAACACAACTGTCTGCATTTTAATGTGGAAAAACATTACACACTTCAGCTTTAAATGTTTGTTTTTTTATCACAAGAGAGAAGCAGTTAATCACCACCATCTGTCAAGGTGTGTGTCCACTGTCCAGCTTCAAATCCAGAGGCAAAGTATCGCTTCAAGCTGCATAGGTCATTTTTCTTTGTGTAATTGAGTATTTGAGGCATGGTGACAGCAGTGAGGAATTTCCTTTCAGCAAACTGAACATTCATCATATAGGGGGAAAGGGCGCTAAAGAGAAACTTCACCTGGACACGATGGACAAGTGAGACTGTTCCATCTCTATACCACTTAATTTTTTTCTTGCTGACTGTCTGCACTTTTTATTTTCATTTTCTAAATCTCTGTACTTTTCACTCTGATGGACCTGAACTGCACTTTAAAGTTCTTCTCTTCATGGGTGGGAAAGCACCAAATGGAATTTCTTGAAAAATTGAGCACTTGAACAGGTTGCATTTGCAATGACAAGGAGGGTTTCCAGCTTTGCTACCAGTTTCTTCAGGCCTTCTGTGTGTGTGTGTGTGTGTGTGTTTCAATTTGAAATAAAACCTTTTTTTTGTTAATGGTAAATAGTTCTTGCACAGACAAGCAGGCAACTTAAGAAGCGAGGAAAGCTTCAGGTGGATTCTCTTTTTCTCTCCAATCATTCAGTTCAGTGAATTTTAAGAGCTCCATTTTGTTGTTCATGCAGCCTGTGACACATGCTTACAATGTCCAACTTCTGCATGTGCATGCTTTTAAAAATGACTGCAGCATGAAATTGGGTTGGCAACTAATCCTGCAAAGTATCAGACATATTCTTTCCTAAAATATTGCATATGTATGTAAACGTGGTACTTATTAGAGGTTATAATACTTTTGTTCTGCTATGGAATACACAGGCAGAGCCAATCCAGCACCTTACATTAATGTACATTTATGATCCTTGCATCAAATGACAACTGATAGGCTAGTCTGTGAAACTAAACTGATGTCTTTAGTTCTGTTATAGGCTGATGGGGTTAACAGCCCAGAGTGTTGCAAACTCCCACTTTAAACATGCATGGAGACACCCTGCTTGGCACATCAAGTTACATCAAGCCATATGCGATTAACTTTAAACAAATTTTAAGGGTTACTTGACAATCTCATTCCAAGTTTCATTAGCATGATGTAGACTATTTTCATATTGTACTTACGCAATGTGAAATTACAACAACCTATTACTTTTTTTCATTTTTAAAGATTACATTTTTTTCTTATGTTTAATTCTTATTCTTATTAAGTCAGCGATGAGACTATTAACATTATTATTATGCAGATGTAGGCCTATTTAATTTCGCTATTCAAAAATAGGCTACAAGAATCGCAATTCATTAATTAAAAGAATTGAATAAACTTTTTCTGTAAACAATTCTGTGATACATTTTTTAATTCATTTTGATATTTTTGTGGGGTTTAAAGTCAAATAATGTCTAGGTTGCGTAACTGTTCAGTATGAAAAATGTATTTTGTCACGTGACAAACCAAAACTGATGACCCCATTGGACCCCATGGTTGTGCATCTCAAGGTTAGAGCCACACAAAAATCATTTCTATAATATTGTAACCTATAGGCTGATTTTACAAAAACATAGGCTATAGTAGAACAAACACGAATATATCTTTCCAAATATGTGTTTTAAACGAGATTTAAAATAACCTGTTTTAACATCTCAGCCATCCTTATTTGTTATTTTACAGATGAATGATAATTCTTGTAGATAATTACGCAGGACTGATCGTAAACCGTGAGCAATAAACAGTGCATGTCATCATTATCCTAAACTGTAACGTTACGTGCGTGCGCGCAGAAAACCCCCGTTAAACAAATAAAGACGTTACCTAGAAGCAACCCTAACCAACACCCTCAAATAGCTTTAAAACATCCTTACCTGATGTTCTGGTCCGTATGTCTGAGTAGGCAATGAAGTGTTAAAACAATATACAAACAAAACTGAAAGTTCAAATGAAGACGAGTGAGTTTGCAGCGCGAACGAAGATCTACGCCGAATGCCGACGTAATCCGCAAACTTTGCCGCGTCTTCTTCTTCTGGAAGAACAAAACACCTGAGGAGTTTCGCCAAGAACAAACAAAGACAGGATTCTATGGATTCAATTCAACGCTTAAAACCGGTTAGTTCGCAACTGCTGCCAAGCGACATTAATAACGTCGTTTTGACATGAAATAAAAGAAATTTGTTTCAAACGTCCACTGAAAACTTGTACCTCGACGCACTTCATGCGTTTCATGGACGACTGAAGGGGAGTGAGAGGTTTCTAGTTACCTGACTGACTCGAAAGTTCCTGTTTGTGGGTCCAACCCACCCCTGGCAAACGGTTTCCTTTTTTTTTTTCTTAATAAAAACAGCGAGGCTTCTTTATATTTGTTTTTTGGACTTGTTAAAAATTAACTGCTCATGTGGTGTGCAGTTAAGCAACTACTGACCCATTTTATCAGCTAAAGAGAGTGAATGAAATCAAGAGACTTGTCATGATCTGTTACACATTTAGACAAGAAGAGGGAGGGAGGAGGGAGGCGAGGGGGAATTCATTATAATAGAATTTGAACTAAAAAAATAACATGCATTTAAGAATTTCTATTTAGTTTACATTCTCTAATCTCTGTTGTTTTAATGGCAGCATTCAAGTTGCATGAACTTAAATTTCTTTAAAACCTGATGTTCTGTTATCCAGCATGTTATGAGAATGTTCCAAAAAGCATGTTGTGCTTCAATGGAAGGAATATTTCTTTTCTATCTCTTCAGTGACACGATGTGCATATGTTTTGTGTCCAGGTGCATTATTTTCTTTTAAAATAATTTGATAAATTAATGACATATCAGTCACTTTATTTTGTCTGAATTAATTTTGAGTACATTTAAATAATACATTTTATTTTAAGTTTTGTTATTTTAACCCCCCAAAATGTCTAAATAGTCTAAGAAAACTATTTATTAATAATAATTCTAATAATAATAGTTAGTTACATTTATATAGTGCTTTTCTTCTGGGTACTCAAAGCGCTTGAAGGGGAGAATCTCCTCAACCACCACCATTATTATTAATGGTGTCTTAATAACAAAAAAATAAATACTATCCCATCATTTTAGGTTTGAAACCTTTCATATAACACATTTTATAAATATCAGTTTTAAAACTGTTGAGATTTCAAGTATGGGTTGGTACAATTTCAGGTGAATACAGTACAATTATTTGGTTGTGCTGCCATACATAAAAACAGTCCGAAAATGAATTTGAACACTTTGAAATTTCATTTACTCAAAAATAGGCATTACGTAAGTTTTGAATTTTTTAAATGCCTTTTTGAGGATGTATTTTTCAATGACGGAATATCTCTTATTAATTTCATCTAACTCGTTTTCTTTCTTTTCATTTTTTTATGCACTTTTATATATGTTTCCATTTAAATTGGATTAAGAATCCCAGAATTTCACTGTAGTTTCAGAGTTTTGAGCTGTGTGTTTAATATTCTTTCCTATGTCTTTTTTATTCCTTTTTGTTCCATTTTTAAAAATGTATCAATTATCCATGCCTGTCAAAAATTCCACAGCCATTTCCATAAAATTGACTTGGCCACTGTCCACATAACATAATTCAGGGTGTGCAAGTTCAGGGCGACCTACTTAGGATCTCTGCAGCAATGCTCTGGAGGATCTCTATTGAGATTGCTGCTAGATTTGGTGAAACCTGTGATGTATGTGTAAGAATTGTGCCAGTTCCACAGCAAGGCCAGGTTTTCACCCTCCTGTCATCGACATTCAGTTTCCCTTCTGTTTTCAGTGTTTATCATCTGATAAAGATTGAATGGAAGGAGGGAAATGCCAGGTCAAAACATTTAAAGTTGCATGAGAAATAAAATGGGCTGCTTTTCAAAACTACAGCTCTGGAAACAGGCCAAAGAGGATAAAACGGTTGTAAAACATGAAGCACTTTTACATAGATGATATAGTTTTACGTTTTTTTGTAAACACATTGATGGATTCTGACTAGCTCTTTTCCAAAACCTTGTGAGCAAACTTTTGTATGCTTTTTCAAACTCAAGTTGTTCAACCTTTTGGCCTCCTTTCATCTATTTATCTATATTCCAACTTAGTCTTATGTTGTTTTTCTTAACATTTTCATTTTTTTTTTTTTATTTCGGTAGTTCTTAAACAGCCCAACTGTGTGTTGCCACCTAATTAACCCACCAATTAGTGCAGTAAATTCAGGGACATCTGCAAAGGGTTCAGATGCGCAAATGTGCATGAATCTAGAAAATATGGGCTGCATAAGCACAGTGTGAGTGAACTCTGTTGATATCGAATTTTGCCATGTGCAAAACGTAGCTGCAAACAAATGGCAAAAAGGCAACATATTAACAATCTTCATATGTGGCTGATTTGAGCAGAAGCTCAGCACAGCACACAATAGTGCCCTACACAGGGGCTCAATGCGCATTCAATTTGAAATTGCATTCTCTATTAAATAGGTACTTATTTTGAATAAGTACTTACTTCATGGCCACTAAAAATGTACCTTCTATATTATGAATGTAATCTGGGCATACTTAATTCGCCATGTTGCCCTTATGATAAGGGCAACATGAAGTATTTCCAGATTACATTCATACTACACTCATTATCACGCGATATAAGGGCCTTATCACACAACCTACCAGCTTCAGATGCACATCCATTCACAAATCCTTGTATTTCCATCGTATGTACACTTCAGAATCTCGCCAGAAGAATAGGTCATTTTGTCTATGTTTTCATGAGTACTGTAAATTCGGACATACTTCTTTTTTTTTCACATGCTGTTTGATGCAGCCTTGCTATAGTGTATGCTAAACTAATAATGTGATAAGCAAAAAAAAAAACTGTGATAAGATAATTCAATTTTATTAATGAAAAATGAAGTATAATGTAGTTATAATCCACATTTCTCTTGCATTCACGCTTCATCCGCATTCTTCTTAGATATATTTGTCCTCTGAGAATATTGCAATGCATTATAGTTCACCCAATATCATCGTTTACTTACCCTCATTTTTCTCCAAACCTGTATGACTTGCTTTCTTTTGTGGAACCCAAGACATTTTGAAAAATGTGTTTTTCTTTTCTGCATATACATGCAACCAAATAATCTGTTAATAATCAGACTGATGACTCAATCAGACTGAAAATCCTTCATGTAAATCAATCCCGAAAAATTTAGATCGATTGTGATATAACAGTTGATCACATTCTTCAAAATATCTTTTGTGTTCTGCAGGAGAGAAGAAATCATGCATGTTTGGAACTACATGATGGTAAAAAAAATGGTGAAAGATTTTTTTTTAATTTTGTAAGTAATGCACAACACATTGTTTGCAGTTAAGTTCCTTGCTCAAACATGTCAGTAATGATAAGGCTTCTTACTGTAAACCTCAAGTTCACATCAGCTCATATTGGCCTGTGGTTGTGTTCTGACCAGACCAAAGCTTACTCCTGACCTATTATCAGAAGACTCACACTCACACATGTATGGTACAAGACAAAAGCAATCAGAAAAATCATGTCTACTAGTTCTGTTTAAATGGGAAAAAAATGAATTTTTAACTCACAATTGCGAGTTTACTGTATGTCTCACAAGAAAAAAGTCAGAATTGCTGGAAATATGTTTTTCAGAATTGTGAGATAGTCACAATTATCTTTTATACAGTTCATTAGTCATTCATAAATCCATAAGATCTTAACTTAATGCTGTGGAAATACAAACCGGAAGACAAGCACAGCATTGAAAGGGGGCGGGGCTACATAAGGTCTATAATATAGCAGCATTTTTGGGGTGGGACTATAAGGCCACGTTTACACAAAGCCGGGTATTTAGCAAAACGAATATTTTCCCCCTCTCCGTTTTCAAAAATAACATCGTTTACACACCCGCATAAATATGCCGTCGAGCGCCATCATAACCATGCCAAACCTATTGGCGGCAGTGTATTGGTTAAGGATAAAGCCAATCAAGCCAATCAGAATCCTCAGAAACGACAAGAGAAAACCTAAAACGCCGTTTCTCCCAGTTCACACGACAACACATAACCGCCGTTTTCAGAAATCTCCACTTTGGCCGGAGTTTTTAGAAATAATCGTTTTCAGTGATAAAAACGGCGTTTTCGTGTAAATGAGAGGGCAAAACGCAGAGAAATATCTGCGTTTTCCCATCGTGTAAACGGGGCCTAAGTTGGCAGGTTTAGGAAACCTGTTTGAAAACAGTAATTTCTAATTTCCCTCAGTGCCAAAAGTGGCACAGAAACTACACACTTCAGTCAATGTGTAATGTGACTGACCAAATGTTTCGTCTTTGCACAGTTTAGGTAAGTCAGTAGGCAATCTAATATTTAGTTTCGATTGAAATTTGATAGAATTTACTTAACGCATTCTGTTCATGCTCAGTTAAAGTGTTGCTCTGCTTTGTTTAGCTTGACTCAAAACATTGCAAATTTTGCTTCGATTGTCGTCCGAGGGATCCATCGATGTTAAAGTGTGTAAGGGAACGTCTCTCTCATAAGGCATGGTGCCTGAGTTTCCATGGGAACTGCAAATCTACCTCCCGCCCTACATGTAGACCTTGTGATATTTTTTAACAATGTCATGCAGCAGTAGCTCACTAAAAGCAGTGGGTTAATCATAGTCCCCTCCCTCTCCCTGTCTTTTATTATTCTAATAGATTTATTCACGGCCTTTCAGTTTCATCTATTTTGTTTTATCCAGATGCTTAATTCTCCCACATCATATGCAAACACACTGAATTTTTTTGAAAGATCCTATATAGGGTTCTTTAGAGAGAGAGGCTCTATTAGCTGATGCTAATGATATTTATTTAACTCCATTGACTAGCAACACTGAAATACTGAATCGAGTTATTTTTCACCAGTTAATTTAAAGCACATTAAGCACATGTTTTCCTTTAGGTTACATGACATTTT